GCCAGTGAATAGAATAATAGTTAAAGCAGCTTAAATCGACAGGTATTAGAAACGTAAAAACCAAAAATTTTCTTATTCAGAATAAGTGATATGGGTTATCGTCTGAACTAGAATAAACATTTTCTTTTAATAAAATACTAATTAAATTTTGAAAAAAGTTATAATATTTTAAATAAAAAAGAATGGAAATATTGATTTAGTTCTAGTTCAAACGATAGCCACACTTCTCCTGCAGAATAAGAAAATTTTAGCTTTTTGCGTTTCAGATACCTAAAACAGCTAAAATTATTTACATCGTCTGTCATTTATAGTGACCAGGATATAACAAAAAAAAGTGCATTTTTGTTACTTAAAAAATAAAAATAAATTTTTAAAATAAAGTGAAGAAAACATGCAAAGTTTAACGTTATTCACTTTCTTCGTTTCCCTATAAAACATTCCTGAAAAATATATATTTTAATGACCTTTTAAATTAAAATATCTCCGTTAATAATTCTTTATACATTCTCTTCCTAACGTGTGTGTGAAGCTATCGTCTCATTTTGCAGAAACTCACAAATTATTGAGAGTTCTGGCTTCTTTCAAAAAACGCGTCAGTATACAAACTGAGACGCTATGTTCACGCAGCGTCTCATTTTGTCCTACACAAGTTCCACCACTGTATCTCATCAGATTTTGCAAGATCTATAGTTCTATAACAGTTCTATAAAGAGTTCTGCCATATAAAAGCAAAAAAATTAATTATAAGGTACTAAAAAAAATTACAATGCATCGAGTATACCGGCTGAGACGCCAGTTGAAATCTCGGAGTTCCGGTTTATGTAAAATCTTTTTCGAGTAGTTTTGAGCATATTGAAACATTTTCTAAAGAGTTCCGAGCGTTAGAATCTTTGTGTTATATTTAAAAAAATTAATATTAACCGAAAAGTAATCATGACAGAAGAAGATGAGACGCTGTGCGAAATCTCGGAGTTTTGGCTTATATAAAATATTTTTCGTATAGTTCTGAGCATACTAAAGCATTTTCTAAAGAGTTCCCGCCACTAGCTACGTTGTATATATATGTTTATTAACTTTAGCAAACACTAGCTACGTTGTATAATTTTTAAATAAATTAATACCGCTCGAAAATCAGGAATTTATCGAAAATAAGGTGAGACGCTGGCCGTATTTTGGCAGTTCTGTGAGTTCTGCTATAATTCTCGTGTAGTTCTGAACGTGTTCTAACGTTGTCCCATTTTATTCTGGCAATAAGCATTATTTATTCATTTTTTAAATAATTCTTATCGCTCGAGAAAGACCCTATTCTCGATAAATTCCTGACTTTCGTGCGTTATTAATTTATTTAAAAATTATACAACATTGCCAATGCCCGGAACTTTTTAGAAATTGTTTTAGTATGCTTAGAACTGTACGAAAAATATTTTATATAAACCAGAACTCCGAGATTTTCTACAGCGTCTCACCCACATACCCGTAAATGCGTCTTTCTTGGACGATAAAAATTATTTAAAATATGAATAAATAATGCTTATCGTCAGAACTCTTTAGAAATAAACGTTAGAACACGTTCAGAACTATACGAGAATTATAATAGAACTCACTGTTACCCATGTGTATTGTTTATTTAAGAAAGTGTTTTTATTTTTATCCAATTATCCTTCTGTTGTTGCTCGTAATTTGGCCGCTTGAACATGCATAGGTAAAATAAATTTAATAAGAGTGCAAGAAACATTATAAATTACCATTTTTTTCTCAATATAGTTAATAATATAATTATCGGTATGCATTTAAATATTAAATTTAAAATTTATTATGCAAAGTAAAGGTTTTTAATGTAACACTTTTTTAAATAGAAAAGCATAGAACAGTGATTTCTATACATTACGTTTACGAATTTTAGTTTTTATGTTTATAAATATTTATTTAATTAATTATATTTGCAATCTTTATATTTTTATAAATTTCAAATATATATACATATATATATATATATATTTAATTATAAATAAAAAAATTAAAATTTGTATACAAGCAAATGTAACGTATAGAGCGGGTATAGCGTATCGTCGATTTGTCAACTCGAGACTCGGCACTCGGCGAGACACGAGACGCGATACCCGAAATGCGTGGCATCGTGGTATAGCCGGCAAGCCGGCCCGTGCAAAGCGGCAACGTCACAGCTCAAGAGAGACAGCAGATTGTATGTCTGCCCTTCTCTCTCCGCTCGAAGCTTGCCGAGGGCCTAGCGTACATACACGGACAGAGAGGAAAGGCTTGCGCGACCAGCATATCCCCTTTATCTGAGTAGTTCGGACACGAACCATAGCATGGATACGAACCCATGTATCGTTACCCGAGTCCTCTCTGATCGTTACCGAGCGTAACGCCGTAGTTGACGTCCACTTTCTCAGAGGGCAGATTAGGACAGACGTCCCCCGAAACCGGATGGCCGCTCTCAGGTTTCTCTCTGTCGGTGTATAAGACTCCTAGGGATAAGTTGCAGTGTGTATTTTGTTGCGCGACTACCATCATGAATCTCTTTTCCATGGCGTCGGAAAGAGGCATACCTGCTGCCGACGATCTGACTCCCGTGTCTACAGGTATGTCATAATCAAGGTATGCGATTGAAAAGAGAATTGTGATTTTAGCAAGAAGAGTGATTGTTAACGTGTGCTTAATTTCAGACTAATCTGCCGTCGTTGTATCGACTGTTCAATATGTAGACAGCTTTTACGGGAATCGATTGGAGGGAGAAGAACAATATTGGTGGACGCAGTTCTGCGCCGCGATCGAGTTAAAACAATGGATTAACAGTTTCTCAAGAGTATCACGATAAATAAGATTAGATTCGATGCTGGTGATAATGTAGAAAAATGTATCATAATCATAATTTGACGATTTCATAAAGAAGAAGACCAATATCTTGTGTAAAGCTAGCTGAACAGTTTTATGCTTCCAGTATCAATTAAAATTCTTAAATAGCCTCTTAAATAGTCTAACTGTTAGTTCTTTCGCACGTTATTATGTAACATTAGCAAAGACTGAATTAGATTATACGTAAAGTGTGGCTTTATCTTTATTTGTAACTCTATTGTACAATATGTCACAGGACATCGAAAAAAAAAGAAACGTTTAGATATTCTATAATTTATGTACAATACAGAACTTATAAAGAATTGATAACCATTTAGCAGGATAAACTGTGTTGGCGTACTCTTTCTACATGCGCACCTTCCTCAAGAGCCGAGACTCGAACCAGATCCGTGAAAAATATCGCCAATTTCGTAGAGCTTTTGTACAGTTTTACTCTAGGAATATCGCGAGAGAAAGAAAGACTTCGGAGATTTTTATCTGAATCGATCAACATAAAGAGAGAGCATAGTAAAGAAGCTATTAGCTTTCGAGAATTTGAACGCATAATACTTTGTTATAATACTATGAG